CCGCCAGTCCTCATCCTCAGCATCACCACATGTGCTCCTAACGGCCCCGAGCTCCGCACTGGGGCAGCTCAGTCCCCTTTCTTTCCACACACCAGGACACCATGTGCAAAACCCTAAATCCTCTCATGTATGACCTGTGAGCACAAAGAGAGCCCCTGGGCACTGCAGTGCTGTGGTTTGAGCAGCGATGGGTGGCACGGCTCAGTGCGCAGCACTGCATGCTGCAGCGCCCCCAGCACAACCCCCAGGGCTGCTTTGGTGGGGACAGCTGGGCAGCTGCCCTCCTTCTGTCCTCACTGCCCACCACGAGCTCAGGGAAAGGTCAGAGAGGAGGGAACTGCTGCCATCCTCACGAGCGCCGTGGTCCCTCGTCAGCTGCTGAAAGCTGCGCTAATAGGCACCGAGGGATGGGGCCTCGTGATACAGACAGCTGCAGTGCCTATGTTTAGGGGAGAATTGCTGAGGAGGTCACTGAGAAAGGCAGGGGGGCAGTTATGGACCCGCGGTGGGATGAGGGAGAGGAGGGGGCTGGATGGGGAGTGGGGAGAGGGGGAAGAGATGTGCCTGCTTCTCCCTGTCCAACTCTATTTCATGGGCAATGGATGAAATCACTTCTCCCCAGCTTGAGTCTGTTTGCTCTGTGGCACTTTGTAGGTGAGCTCCAGTGAGACAACAGGGAACGGCAACGCGGGCAGCGAACGAGGAAGAAGGTGAACATCTACAGACAGGTTAAGAGATCATCAAGGCTAAGAAGAGGCTAAATCCATCCTACTGGGAACCTTGTGGATATTAAAAGAGATATATCTGAATACTTTTCTTAGCCAGCAGCTGCACTGGAGGAATTGGAGACTTTTCTGGGGAGACAAAAGAGTGGGACATCATAGGCTGATGCTTGAGCAACGGCCACTTGGAACAGCCCAAAAACTACGTTAAGATTAAGGCTTAAAATCATTAAATCCAGATCCAGGTACTGTGCAGTATATTTCAGCAGGTAAATGAAGAAATAGATCAGTCTACAAGATCACTATTACGTGCAGAACAGGTGAAAATACCCATGACAGTAATTGCTCTCTTGTCATGGTTGCTATGGCTGTGCTAAGAATAAGGACTAAGAATATCAGGATGTGCAACTGAAAAGATCCTTCAGGGCCATTTCAGATCTGATTGCAACAGGAGCTGGTGGATCTGGGTGGTGAACAAGGGCACAGGAGAACACAGAGCTGTGAGCTTCCCTTCCCTTCCCTTCCCTTCCCTTCCCTTCCCTTCCCTTCCCTTCCCCTTTTTCCTTTTCCTTTTTTTCCTTCCTTTTTCTTTCTCCCTCTCTCCCTTCCTTCTTCCTTTCCTCCCCCTTTTTTTGCTCCTGCTACAAATGTCTTGTGATCATTGCTGATAAGGGTAGTAGATATGGGTTTTTTCCCCCCACATCCTTCCATAACGTTTTGTCCCCCATTTCCCATGACCCACACTTAACCCACTGCTCTGCCTGCAAGGGCTGCACAGGACATGCAAGGATCCCTCTGTCAGCTGAAGGCCTGGAGACACATTTCTCACATCGCTTGCTATCCCCACCAGGCAGTGAGCCAGAGGGCAGCATGCAGCACAGGGCAGAGTGTTTCCTCCAGGCTTTGTTTCCAGCCTGCCATTCCCAGCCACGAATCGCATACACAGAAATGTCAGATTGCTGCTGCAGAGCTTTGTTCTTAGCACCGTAACTCAGACCTTGCAGTGCTCTGACGGGATGTTTTGGACCTGTGATGTTTCTCATTTCTCACCTTCTTTCACCTGCAAGTTTCAGCAAGGGGCTGCAATTTTCCCTGGGTATCATCTCCCATGTAAGCAGGTGATTTTGATCTCAGACGTAGCCCTGTAATACAGATGTACATCCTGATCACTGCGGCCAACACAGCCACATTCCATCCCCTCTCCCACAAGCCTCCTCTATTCTCAAACAGCAGAACAGGTGGGCAGCTCTGCTGCTCAGAGAACTCTCTTCAATCTGCTTTTGGAGTTTCCCAGATTGCTCTGATGCCCGTGGGACCCACCAGGCTCTTTCCACACTGCTGAGGGCGGTGACGTCCTTGCATGTTGCTCTCTGCCATCGTTGAGAGGTCCTACAGATAGAAGGAGGCTTTTGGTGACTTGACAAACACAAATGTGGTTTTAAAAAAGCCCAACAGGTCAGCGAAGGAACAACAGCTTGGTCTTCAGCACCTGGAAAAATCCCAGAGCAAGACCTCCCAGAGCACATTTCTGGGTGTTAAGTGGACAAGTTGATTTGGAGCAGACCGTGGATTTGTCAAGCCTATGAAATACCTCATCAACTTGTTGGCTCTCTCCCAAAGCGCGATTGGATCTGTAGGGAATGGAAAAACAGTGGATGCTGTTCACCCCAAAACCTCCAGCTGCTATAAGAACGCCCAGCCCTCCCCTGCCCGTTCCAGAGCCCTTTTCCCTCCCCCAGAATATCACTGATACCCCACAAGAATTCCCCAGGGTTCCCCCACATCTCCATGTACCCTTTGGGAAACTCCAGGAAGCCAAGACCTCTGAGGATCCTCCCCAGCCTGACCTCCCATCTACCCCAAAATCTTGGCCCTCCAGGACTCTCCTTTTCCCTCATGATCCCCCACGAACTCCAAGACGGCTGTCGATCCAGGCCCAATGAACATAGGCACCCAGAGCCCTTATGTCCCCCCC